CCGGAGCCACTCGGGGCATGGCACACGGTGGCGGTAGACGTGCCCGGTCCCCTCCCGCAAACGCGCAGGGGGAACAAGTACGTCATCGTGGTCACCGACTACCTGACTCGCTACGTTTTGGCCGTGGCCGTTCCAAACCAGACGGCCGAAACGACCGCCAGGGTTCTACTGGAAAAGTTTCTGGAGTATGGGCTCCCAGCAAGGCTCATCACCGACGACGGCAGCAATTTCAGGTCTAACCTGGTCAAGGAGATCTGCCGACAGCTCAAAGTATCCCAGCTGTACAAAGCAAAGTACAACGCCGTACCACCCGCAGTTTGACGGCCTGTGCGAGCGTTTCAACCGCACACTGGCCGCCATGCTGTGAGCGTTTGTGGCCGACCACCAGCGGGATTGGGACACATATCTACCACGTGTGGCCCACGCTTACCGAGCTGCGGTTCAAGAGTCAACGGGAGAGGCCCCTTTCTTGCTGATGTTCGGAAGGCCTTGCAGGGCTCCACTCGATATCATGCTGCAAGATCCTCCCAGAGGATACGGCGATGCGACGACGGGCAAGGAGATCGAGCGAACGAAGCCCGAAGCTGTGCGCCGCTTGCACCGCGCGTTCCAGGTCGTGCAGCGGAGACTGGCGGAAGCCCACCGTAAGCAGAAGGCGTGGCACGACGGGAAGGCGGTCGACCGGCAATTTAAAGTGGGTGATGAAGTGCACCTTCTGGATGAGCGGGTCGGCGAGGGCGAGTCCAGGAAGCTGCACCGCCCCTGGAAACCGGGCTACCGAGTCCTAGCGCGGAGAGGGCCGCTCAACTACGTCGTGGAGCATCCCGAGCGCCGAGGCAGGCTACTCCGGGTGCATGTTGGCCGCCTGAAGGAGACGCGGCCCGCACTCGTCTGGCCCCGGGAAGAGCCGAAATGGGCGCCGAGGACTCCCGACCCGAGCCCAGCACGGGATCCATCGGGCGTCCTGGAAGCATGGCTGCGGGAGGAGCGCGCTCGCCACAAACCCCTCAGGCGAGATGATCGGGACGAGGCGTGGCTGTGGGAGGAAGATCAGCCGCTGGACCCGGGCTGCGGCCAGAGCGCCGTCCCAGGATCACCCGAAAGCGAAGCCCGACAAGTCACCCCAGCCCCGACTCCGGACGTCGCCAGGGAAACGCAAGCGCCCGGACAGGCGTCCCTTCGAAGGACGAGCGCAGCTGGCGGAAGCGCGGGAAATGGTCGCGATGACCGGGGGAGGCCGCCGAGGAGGTCGGCTCGCGTCAGGGCCCGGGTGGAGGCGGCCAGGGCGTGGACGAGCCCCCAATGACGATCACGAAAGGGAACGTCAAGTGGAAGCAAGGCCTAACCTACTCCCCCATCGCCCCTAAATCATCCCGGCTCTAGCACATGGCCCGCGGGCCGACCGGTCCGTCCAAGGCGGTGGAACCCGACTAAGGCCACTACTCTATTCCAGGTTGGTACGCATCGGACTGCTTGCACTGTGCGCGGCGGCGTCCTACTCAGCGCCCGCCACCGGCGACGGAATTCGGACGTTGGAGCCGCAGCCAGCCGGCCTGCTGTTTGAGCCGAGAGGGCAGCTACTGTTCGCCACAGGGCGATGGACCCTGGTCCTCAGGACCCAGGCAAGTCGGATTCATTCGCAACGCATGCGAATCGAAGATAGAATCGAGGACATCACGGATGTTTTGGCGACCAGCCTAAGTAAAGTAACGCGAGGGGGTCAAGGCGGAAATAGCACAGAGGAACAAAAGCGGCTTGAACATTTCCTGGTCACGATGAGCAGCACTTGGGGGCAAGAGAGGACGTGGATGGACCGGGAACTGGCGGCTGCACAAGCAAAGGTGAGAAACGTACGGAGAGAACTGAGCCAAGCACGCCGTACCAGGAGCGTACTGCCTTTCATCGGCAAGGGCCTCAGCTTCTTGTTCGGCACGGCAACGGAAGAAGAAACGAGAAATTTGCATAAGGGACTGCAACACCTCCAGGCCGAAACGGGAGAGCTCCAGCACGTTCAGGAATTGCAGGGCTCCTTGATGGGGAAACTGGTGAAAAGAGAAAGGGCTGACCACAAAAACATACAGGCGCTCGTCAGCAAAACCAATGCAGTCATCCAACTGTTGGGACGGATCGGGGACCGCGACCGAGTGGCAGTCCTCAATGTCCGACGAGAAATAGACATCGTCCGCGCCGTGAGTGCGGCCATCAGGGCGGCCGGCGCCAGCGTCTCCACCTTTCGCCACGAAACGGACGAGCTGGTTCAAGAGATGGCTGCAGTGCAAGAGGGCCGCCTGTCGGCAAACATCATCCCTCCGCGAGAACTGGTGCGAGCCCTCTCTTCTATACGGCAAGCCCTTCCGTCAGGATGGACCCTGGCCCCCCCAGAATCAGCCAGCCCTTGGGACCTCTACCGGGGGCTCACCACCTCGGCGGTCCCGCTGGCCGACGGATGGGAGGTGCACATCAAGCTACCGCTACGTCAGACGGATTATGGGCAGTTCTACCTTTATCAGGCCATCCCCATTCCTTCATGGATTGCAGGCCGCTCTGCAGCCGTCTTGGCCGAAATCCAAGCGGAGTTCTTTGCGCTTTCGTCCGATCGGAGATTACACGTGGAGCTAACCGGAGAGGAGATGAGCAAATGCAAGCAGACAGCGTCCCTTACGCCATGCGAGGAAGCTACGCCAGTCATCAAGTCGGACGGCGAAGGATGCGCGTATCACTCATTTTGAGGCGACGTGGACGGCGTTCGGAGGTCTTGCACCCAGAGGGTCATCCCACTTCGGGCCTCCCTTCGAAACGTCGGCCAAGATCGCTGGGCGTATGCGTTGCCCCAGACAGAGACTTTTGCGCTCCGATGCCGGAAGGCTTCTGGCGCGCCATCGTCTGGATTCCACCTGCAAGGGGCCGGAGTATTCGTACTACCGCCAGCCTGTGCGGCGGTGGGCGATAACTTCGTGGTCCCAGCGCACCTGCGAGGAGGGTCAACTGTCATAGAAAACCCATCGGTGGACGAAATGCAGGTGTACAACGCCACCGTGAGCCTGCAAGACCTGCTTTCGCAAGCTGACGCCAGCGGCCCTCCGCCGAGTTCCACGCTGTTGGAAAGGCTCGCGGAAGTACCGGACGAGGCCGTCCTCAACGGGACCCTGGCGGACATCTCCGAGGGGCTAAAGAGAAGGATGCTGCTAATGAATGGCGACCGCGACCAGGATGGCTGGCGAGCCATCATCGCCAAGCACGGGCCAATGACGCTCGGGTCCGTGGGGGTGATCGGCTTGATCCTGGTGACCCCGTTCCTCTGCGGCCGCGGGAGGTGCCGACGGGAGTCGCGAGGTGAGGGAGCGACCGCCCTGCGATCGGTCCAGGAGGACTACACGACGAGGTTTGACGAGACCTTAAGCAAGGTGTCGCGACTGGAAGAAACGCTGAGCCGCCAGGAACGTGAACTGGAAAACCTCAGGAAATTCATGTAGCAGCTAGGACATCCCGTTGTGTCGGCGGAGCGGGGTCGCGACTATCTAAGAGCAAGAGCTAAACCAAGCCGAGCAGGGAAGGAGGAACAAAAAGGGACCCGGACGGAAGGGCGAAGAAGTGAAGGGGTCGGCGAGGTCACCCCGGGTCAGCAGAACGCGAAGGACGACGCGGGAGGCGAAGGAGGTGAAGAGGCGAGTATAGCGCGGTGCCTACATAGCGCGGTGCCGGCGGATTCTAGTTCGAACGACGACGCGAGAGGACTCGACAGAGAGGCGTGTGCACCGGAGCGAGGCGTCTCTCGCGCGCGTGGTGACGCTTGCCCGCGGTGAACATAGTGGTGGCGTGCGATTGCCCGTGATGTAGATAGCGACGGCGTGCCGTTGTCTGCGGTGTATGGTGTTCGGACCCATGTGTGTGGTTCACGCTCTATCCCATTCCAGGTTCCACGTCTGCACAGAATGTCACTCAAGAGCAATAACGCGCCCTTGTGTGGGCCGCGGTAAGTCGTGTATGAAGGGCATGTGGCGTTCTGGCAAACCACACTTCTGTCGGCATCGCGACCAGCAAATTAGGAAACATATGATCGTACATGGAGGAAAAAATTCAGATCAAGGGTGATAAGTTCAGCGGCCTGCAAGAAACGCTCGAAAACCTGGCAAAAGGTCCCACAGTGACGCAAACAGAATTGAAAGATCAAGCCATTCTCAGAGATTCCGTGCGTTGCCACTCAGGAAGACACGACCTTTCTACGACCACATGGGCGTACGCTCGCACCAAAATCAGCAGATCCAGCCGAAGCCTCCTGGCCGGGTTTGAAAAGCGTCTTGGTCTGGCCGTGCCAGACTTCAGGTATATATTGGCATCCCAGGAAAACAGGCGCCGCATCAGAACCACATTGGACCAAGTTTATCAGGAGTCGCCTGACATGGGCATAGGGGATTACTTGTGCAGTACCCACATTCCTGAAGCTTGTGTACCAGCGGCTCGCAGAAGCAACGAACGGCGCCGCGTGGAAAGACATGTTGGAACTAACCATAGCCATGTTGTCGTCAAGCATCAAGGACAATCAGGATGCCAGGCGGACGCGACAGTCCGCGCAGAAACTGAAGCATATGACTGAGGACAAGCTATCACATGACGAGAGGGTGCTGATCAGGCGCGAGGTGGAGCGCCACCTAACATGCATCAAGGAAGGTGGCAAAGACGGACTGCCCACCAACGCTGTCGCCCTGTGGCATGTCGCCGTCAAAGTCCGCCAAATGGCGTATGTGGCGGCGCAAATTACCTCATGGACAAGATCAGGAGTGTTCCGCAACGTGACGGTGTCGGAGTTTTTAAACGCGCAAAAAGTGGGAAAGGCTGACACCATCAGCCACGCGGGTGGAAAAACGAGGCATATTCACCGCACTGTCACCTTAGTCATCTCGAACCGGCTGCACCGTGTGATATCGTTCCATCCCACCCACCTATGTCAACACCTGCTCAACGAGGGGGAGTCGGACCATACACTGCTGCCAAAACTGAACATGTATGACGAAAAAGCCCTCAAGTTCGACATCCCCGCCATCAACCGCCTGGACCACCCCAAGCTGGTGCGCGGAAACAGAGGTCGCCGCAACCACGTAGACCTCACCCATTCGCTGGTGGCAAAGGGTGCGCTACAAGGTACAAATGCGAATGAGGCAGCGCGTTACCGATACCACAGCCTTAATACGGCAATGAGGTACTACGACGTGATGGAGGACGGTCGTAGAGCACACGCGGTGCAGTGGGCACTCCTCAAATCGGCGAACAAGTACTACGGTGTAGCAAGCTCCAGTGAGGATTCTGCCGACGAGGACGAACAGCAGTTCGAGGAACAAGCAACGACCAGTGCGGTTGAGCAGATGGAGGAGGGCCGACATCCATTCATGAGCCTGAGCCGGAGCCGCCGGTCCCCGTCGAGCAAAAACAACGGCCACACCGAGTCAGCGACGAAGGCCCAGCCCGAGGCCAGGAGACAATGGAGACTCCGGGCTACACTTGTCAGTTGCAGCTCTCGGCCCAGACTGGAGTTGACGACATCGAGCAAGAGTCGGGCCTAATTATTGACAAGGCTCTCCGCCCTTACTGGGTAAGGCGCCTCACTCAAGACACAACGGGGTACCACCGCAGCGGGCGCCCTTGGACGGCAGGAGAGCTTGCCACATTGGACCTGGCAAAAGCCAATGGGCTCGGGAGGTCCAGAGCCCAGAGCAAGATCGCAAGAGTGCGAAACTTTCTGGCCGCACAACCGGGATGGAGCATCCAGACCCCGTCGGTGCAGCAGTTCCTGGCATGACTAATGAAGGAGTAATCTGCAAGCAGCAACTCAGCTGGTCCGCCGTGGCAGAAGACGGACCAGTCTCCGCCACGAAGTGGGAGGGCTGGTCACCCTCCCTTTAGGCCAACCCTCACCCTGCCAGGTCGGTGCGTGAAGAAGGCCCCCGGCCGCACCGTCCAGTAACGCCGGGGGCGGCTGGCGGCTGCCGCTCAGGGGGAGGCGGCGGCCGTGTGGGCTCCCGGGTGGAGAACGCCGGCCACAGTGCCTCCCCTTCCCCTCCCCCCCCCCCCCCCCCCGGATATCTGTGCCCGCCACTCCAGCGGGCGGAGAAGGCCCCCAGCTGCCCCCGGCCGGCTACGTGCCAGCCGGTTCGGGAGCACAGCCGGGGGTTTGTAGAAATTAGATTGTAAATAGGTAGGACCCTCCCGGTGGGCAACACCTTTACGTGGTGGGAGGGATTGCGAGCTACCTAGTGGCCCTAGGGGCGCCTGGGTAGCCTGGTGCTGGCCACTGGTGCTAAGCATGAACTGTGATAAACAAGGGTAACTAGCATCACGATCAGCTAGTATTTCTAAGAGGCTGTGACTTCTTTAACATGACAAGAAAGCTCAGTCCTGTACTGTTCTGTCCAGACCGTCCTCCTAACATAATGTCCTTGTAATGTCCTGTGGCCGTTGTGGCCGTAATGCACTGTCCTAACGAACTGTGTCCTTCCAAAACAGGACGTATCCCCTTGACTGCTGTCGAGGAATTCATTGACGTCATCGCCAAGTTCGGGGCACAATGCCTGGGAGAGCGTACTGGTGGCCGGCGGCGCCGGCGAGCTAGCCGGCCTGCGGCCCACCTGGCAGGCTGCTACTGGACATCTCCCACCTGCAGCACGGCCAGCGCATGGAGACCATCCTGGACGTGGCACCGCCAGGGCACGGTGCGCAGGACGGCTACGGTGGACCAGACATGACACCCTGCAGCGACGGTCCGTCTGCATAATACTTCAGTGGACCCTACGTGGACGGCTACGTCAGCCCGCCACCCCACGGCGGTCTTGACATGGGACAGCCGGTGCCGAGCCGGCCAGCGGAGCAATCCACCGTGTACACGCCAAACGTCTGGGCGTTTTGCAGAAACAACGACGAACTCGCAAGCTTCTACAGGAGCCACGTGCTGAAGGCAAGCGCCGCTGACTGATTGGTGCCAGATAGGGGCATGCGCGCCATCGCCATCTCTACACTATCTCTCGTCATTGTCTGTACTGATTCAGATTTAGACGCTGATTCGGAGATCAATGTTACGTTCATATACGTTCAGGTCGGAAAAACTCCGGCTGAACTGTAGAAGACACGTCATCGACCATGGCGGGATGGCTTGGACGTCCATCGCGCTCATGTCCGTGCCAGCCAACGAGTGCATGCACCCGCAGACGAGTGTGCCACCTGTTGCAGGACGAAAACGGCCTGGTGCGCTGCCCCGTGCGCGCGGGCAGGACCCGGCCCCGTGGGGCCCTTTGAGGACGTCCCGGAGCACACCATCCGCGTTGTCAGCGGACTGGAAACGTATCTCCGCATGCTGAAGCTCACCGTCACCGAGGTCCGCCCGGTGATCGGAGTGTCATGCCGGGCCTGGACCTCTCGGAAGGGGGACTGGACTGGCTGCCTTCCGCGACCTGTCGCAGTCGCTGCGACGGGTAGCTCGAGACAGCCAGTCTCTCTTCTGGACGTGGAAGAGATCGTGCGCAAAAAGTGGGGAATTATTTATACGTGTATATATATTTTAACGTGACTTTTAAACATACTGGGGTATATTTACAGCCTGTGGTGGTAGGTAAGCCATTCGAAAATCCTAATGCTAGTTACATCACCATTGAAATACATTTTCTCCAAAATGGGCGAAGTGAGTATTTCAATTGACGTGACGCGCTGCACAAGCTGTTGCTTTCCCGGGCCCATTGAGAGGATTGTGCGATTTGCACGCTTACGGCATCGCCGTAAACGGAGGACAGGCAAGCGGAACAAAGTATTTCAGTAATTTGAGCTGCGCGAGCACTTCACGCGAGTCTGTCGTCGCACGTCCGTCAATCTAGCAGCAGATTGATATCCAATTGCCAGTTGGATATTGCGGGGCGTCTCGATTGCCGCCAAATTTGGTGTGCAGGGCCTTCTCAACACGCTGATTCCGAAAATCAATGTCTTTGGGGTGGAATTTTGCGTAATTTTCGAGTTATACGCTGCGTAACATCCCAATGTGATATTGCGGGGCGTCTCGATTGCCGCCAAATTTGGTGTGCAGGGCCTTCTCAACACGCTGATTCCGAAAATCACTGCCTTTGGGGTGGAATTTTGCGTAATTTTCGAGTTATACGCTGCGTAACATCCCAATGTGATACTGCGGGGCGTCTCGATTGCCTCCAAATTTGGTGTGCAGGGCCTTCTCGACACGCTGATTCCGAAAATCAATGTCTTTGGGGTGGAATTTTGCGTAATTTTTGAGTTATACGCTGCGTAACATCACAATGTGATATTGCGGGGCGTCTCGATTGCCGCCAAATTTGGTGTGCAGGGCCTTCTCAACACGCTGATTCCGAAAATCAACGTCTTTGGGGTGGAATTTTGCGTAATTTTTGAGTTATACGCTGCGTAACATCCCAATGTGATATTGCGGGGCGTCTCGATTGCCTCCAAATTTGGTGTGCAGGGCCTTCTCAACACGCTGATTCCGAAAATCAATGTCTTTGGGGTGGAATTTTGCGTAATTTTCGAGTTATACGCTGCGTAACATCCCAATGTGATATTGCGGGGCGTCTCGATTGCCGCCAAATTTGGTGTGCAGGGCCTTCTCAACACGCTGATTCCTGAAAATCAATGTCTTTGGGGTGGAATTTTGCGTAATTTTCGAGTTATACGCTGCGTAACATCCCAATGTGATATTGCGGGGCGTCTCGATTGCCTCCAAATTTGGTGTGCAGGGCCTTCTCAACACGCTGATTCCGAAAATCAACTGTCTTTGGGGTGGAATTTTGCGTAATTTTTGAGTTATACGCTGCGTAACATCCCAATGTGATATTGCGGGGCGTCTCGATTGCCTCCAAATTTGGTGTGCAGGGCCTTCTCAACACGCTGATTCCGAAAATCAACTGTCTTTGGGGTGGAATTTTGCGTAATTTTTGAGTTATACGCTGCGTAACATCCCAATGTGATATTGCGGGGCGTCTCGATTGCCTCCAAATTTGGTGTGCAGGGCCTTCTCAACACGCTGATTCCGAAAATCAATGTCTTTGGGGTGGAATTTTGCGTAATTTTCGAGTTATACGCTGCGTAACATCCCAATGTGATATTGCGGGGCGTCTCGATTGCCTCCAAATTTGGTGTGCAGGGCCTTCTCAACACGCTGATTCCGAAAATCAATGTCTTTGGGGTGGAATTTTGCGTAATTTTTGAGTTATACGCTGCGTAACATCCCAATGTGATGCTGCGGGGCGTCTCGATTGCCTCCAAATTTGGTGTGCAGGGCTTTCTCAACACGCTGATTCCGAAAATCAATGTCTTTGGGGTGGAATTTTGCGTAATTTTCGAGTTATACGCTGCGTAACATCCCAATGTGATATTGCGGGGCGTCTCGATTGCCTCCAAATTTGGTGTGCAGGGCCTTCTCAACACGCTGATTTCGGAAATCACTGCCTTTATATATCGCGTAGCACGTCGTTATACGTCGCGTAACACAACAGTTTGATATTGCGGAGATAGAGGTATTCTTAATGAAGGATTGCGGTCTTCTTAGAGCTGAGATTCCTGCAAGCATTGAGATTTAGGTTGTGAAATTTTATTATCTTTGCCCTGTTCTAAGGTAGCTTAATGTCAAGTGAATGTTGGAATGATGTACGGCGCATGCGATGGTGAAAGTTACGCAGCGATTGGTGCAGTGGCTTGTGGTGTTGAATTGACTGGTTAACATGCTAAGTTATCCCTTCATGTTTTCGAAGTGTTCTTCCTCAGGTTTGGTCTTGACACGGCCAACCCATTACTCGCCCATTTGCATTGAATGGATCGGTGAAGATTTGAAGGTGATCGGACAAGACGTTTAGTAGAACGAGCGTGTCTGCTTCATATGTCAGTTTTTTAGACCCTGCCGTTTGAATTCGCGCATCGGGTTACATTTTGCCGGTCTTTGTGAACGCAGTATGAAGTGAACGGTGGGGGTGGTGTACATCAGGTGGAATGTTTTATCGCACGCAGTAGGTGGGAGGCAGAAGCAGGATGAATCAGCAGTTGGAGATGGTATGTACAGAACCACGTTCACCCTCTATGTAGGTAGAAACGACTCACGCGCCGTTCCGCTGATTCGAATCGTGCACCGGCGGAAATCCTTTCCCGTCAGAGGATCGACCGTTCAGGAAGCGATTTCGTTCGAATTATTGGTGGTCGGCTGTCCAAACAACAAAAAAAAGAAGAAAAACTGCATGGTGCATGCAATTCTGTTCAAGGCCATCTCAGCTTTGTGTGGTGTTGCCGGTGGCCACGGATTTTTAGGTGTTGGTCAAGACGATCCAAGCCCAAGATGGAAAGGAAAAACGGAAAGGAGGTGAAGGTGACACCAGGCTGCTAAAGGTGCTCTCATTATTGAGGGCCTTAAGTGGCTAGTAGCACAGGAATGCTGACGTAATTCAACCTTGTTAGGCGCATGACCTATGCAGACGGCAGGCGTCAGCATTGTGGTGTTATCTTTCCGTCTCAAGGTTAGATTGATTTACATCTGGGGCAGGTTCCATGCTTCCAAAAACTGTATTGAGGTAACACAGTCATTTTATGTAGCTTAGCTTTAGCTATTTTATGCTAGCTTATGTAGCTTTAGGTCACTTTAAGTTTCTTTCATTAGGTGAATACCTAGAGGCCCCAGGGTTGTTATTGCAGAAGTTCCTTCAATTGGGATGTTGGTTGCATGTTGGGTTAAGTTTTGTGGTGAAGGTAACTTAAAAATTTGTGCATGATATGAAAGATCAATGAATGTAGATCATTGCAGTGAGCTCAGAATGTGAACTGTTTTTAATGATAAGACCAAAATTGCCCAATGATGGTTTTGAAACATCAAGACAGCAAATGTGACCACTGGATGAAAATAGTTGTCATCAGTACTCTGCTAAATCCAGGTTTGTGTATTTCATGTGGAAGAAAACATGCATAAATTAAGAAACATCTAGCACCATGGCACATGCTGCACAGGGAACATGTCTGTGCTGCATATCATCACCTGGTTTTGTACTAGTGAGTAAATATGTTACTTTGGTGTTTTTTTGTAATGGGTGTCTTTGCAAGCCTTGAGGTAGGTAATTTAAATGTTATTATGATGAATAATTTGTTGTGAATTTTGAGCCAGGATTGCTTCCCTCATGACACAGCTCTCAGGCTGGTTCACATGCTATGATCTTTGGACTGTGCAAACACAGCTGTTTGTGTCATTTAGCCTTCAGTCCATATCAGCCCAATGCTGTTGACTGCAAGCATATCAAAGCAGTTTTTCAACCCTGGTATGTCAAGAATGTAAATAGCTGCATTTTGACTTGCCAGTCCATGATAAGCCTGAATGGCAATGTTGCTGTCAGGTACGGATGCTGCATCGATTGAGAAAGACAACATAATTGCACAGGCTGCCACTAACTGTGTAGCATTCACAAGTCATTTCTTTAGCTTAGTTCACTGTTGCAAGGTGCTCATAAAAGCATTAGTGTGGGAGTAGGTTATGTGTTTCCTGGGCTGTGCGAAGTAGATGACATGATGCTGGGTGGCCCATCTGATCAGAGTGTGGTTAGTTTGTGGGTGCCACTGGCCAGTACAAGGAAATACTGGTTTCCTGCTAGCCATTGCATGGCAGAAAATAGTCAGGTGTCATAGGCTCCAGGTGTTTTAAATGTCATCCTAAATAATGTTGTCCAGAACAGCAAGCTATGATCTACATTGCAGAATGGGAAGCAGTAGCCTTGCTTGCACTTTTTGGAGCTGTTGTCATGTATGGATGTTCTAACACATGGCACTTTAACATCATTTACATGCAAGTTTGAAACATCCATGGAATGTGTAGCTTGCAAACATTTGGTGAAATACCCACATTTCCTAGATAGTCATACAACTGTATAATTTCAGTCATGGTTATGTGTCAAATTGGCTGTTCAGTGGTTGCTTAACACATGCTCGGGGGGGGGGGGTCAAATTGACTGGTCGTTGACCTAAAATGACCAGGGTCAACATTTTGTTTTGGGAACAAACTGCCAGCGTAATCTTTGTCGCTTATTCAAATGCAAAACTTAGAGCCGTCTTTTATCATTTTGGTCACCATGACCTTCAAAAGATCAGACAAGGCCACTGACCTTAAATGGGCTTTGACCTTTCGCTTAGAAACAGTTCCTTAGGTTCTGGGGGTACTTTGGAAACCAACCTGGAACTTGACCTTGTTTGATCCCATGACCTGAAGGTCATGACCTAGGAAGCTCAAAGTTTGACCTAAGTGAGTTCACATACAGGTCAGGACACCCTGTAAATTTGGTGTCTCTAGCTTTCTCAATTCCTGAGATCTCAGGAGGGGGTCAATTTGCCCCCCCCCCCCCCCCCACTCGAACGAAGAGTATCTAGCCGGCCACCCGGGCGCATGTTAAAAAATGCAACTCCCCCAGCCAACGGTCGGAAGACACTTGAGTTTCGAAATCTGTCATGTGAATCGTCATTGAAGAAATGTGCTGAACAGCTTAATTGGTGTTATGGTTGCATTGTAGCCCGAAGTGAGGTCAGTTCAACAAACCTGTGCCGATTTTATCATTAATAATTATATCTCTGACGGCTAAATATGTCATGCCTGTTACATTTGAACTGGTTTCATCCGAAGCTACATGTGCCAAAGTTCGTGCTTTTACGATGCGTTACACTCCTGCAGTATGTGATCAGAAGAAGAACTTTCCACTGGTTCACATGTATTGCCTGTTATCGCATATCGCATTTATACCTTTTGATTAAGTGGGCTTACTTTGTGTTGTCAGGCGCTGCAAGGCCTTAGTAAGCCAGCTGGCGCGCTGGGCAGGCGATTTTGGAAGGTGGTGGTGGAACGGGAGCGGCACCCCACCAACCAGCGTGAGCGGATCTGCAATAAGAAGCGGGTGGAGCGCTACCGCAACCTTTTCAAACGGAGCACCGCATTCAAAAGGTATAGTTGCCTTAGAGTTGCCGTGGGTGAATACTTGGCAGTTGAAGTATCGACTCAAAGAGCCTGAACTTTTACCTTGAAGGCTTGAAGTTTGTACATCGCACATCGCATTGTATGATATTTTTAAGGATTATGTAGGCAACTCATTCCATGTATTGGATTGACGTTCTGCGGTACACTGAGCACGCAGTTCAGCGGTACTAGCCACAAATTCAGTCGCCCGCAGTTTTTCTCAATTAGCATATGGCAAAGGAGGGTCAACCTGACCCGGCAGAGTCGTGCCGTAATGCTGAAATGTCTGTATGATACTGTGTTTATAAGAATGTCATAGATGTCGTTGTCTGATGGCCTGTGTTATGACGCATCTAATCACTCGAACCCATGCATGCGAAATATTCGGGATGATGCACTAGTGCAGCCATGTATTCGTAATGTTCACCGGTGTGTACATTTCTGGTACGTGTATATAATTTTATGTGTTAGTGATAGTTTCATTATTTATGCAACTGCCAATTTCAGTGCTACGGCTATTTCACTCAGAACACTCGTGCCTAAGACTGCCTCTTCGTGGAGATTCGGAGATTAAAGAGTCCCCATGAGGCAAGTTCAGGCTTCCCACGCTATTTAGGTTCCATTCCACACTGTGGAGAGATTTGTGAAACATTACGTCGTGGGCACCAACAATGACGCCTCTTCGCACAGCGAAGCCAGCATGAACCGTTTCTGCTTATTACATCACAAATGGTCAGTTATTTGTGAACTTCGTGACAGTTCGGCAATAGCTTTACTGCGCTCTCTAAATGCCGGCAAGGGCTTCTCCCCGTCAGTCGCAGGGAAGTCTATCGATTGAATAGTTTTGGAGCCGTCACTGAATCGCAGTAAGTTGTAGCTAATGCATTTGCTTTCAACATGCATGTTGTGCCATGCTAGTTTCTAGCTGCTTTGCCTGCCGAGATCTAACATCAGTGTTTCAGCATGACTTTACATGGTCGGGTCCGTGGTTTGCGCACTAATAAATGTGACTCTGCACGCAACCACCTACGCTTCTGGATACGCCCGCCCGTCTCTAAGCAAATATGTCGGTTTCTTTCCGCTGCGACGCCTGTCCTAGAGTTCTGTATCGAGTGGACACAGGCTCGTTTTCTGCAGCTGTTCTGCGAATTACAGCTACTATGTTAATCAGCTGAAGAATTGTAATATTGGTAACATTACAACAGTGCAAAAAAACGCCGTCTGATGAAACAACCAACATTTGGCACGCGCCCGGGTGGCCGGCTAGATACCCTTCGCTCGGGTGGGGGGGGGGGGGGGGGGCAATTTGACTCCCTGAGATCTCGGGAACTAAGAACGGTATTGACATCAAATGTACAGGGTGTGTTGACCTGTATGTGAAATCACTTGGGTCAAAGTTTAAGGTTACTAGGTCAGGACATTCGGGTCAAAAAAGATCAAACAAGGTCAGCTTCCAGGTTGGTCTCCAAAGTGCCCCCAAAACCTAGATAACCGTTTCTAAGCAAAACTTCACATTCTCATTCAAGTTCAGTGGCTTTATTTGGCGTTTTGAAGGCCAAGGTGACCAAAATCATACCAGATTGCTTCGAGTTTTGCATTTGACTAAGCGACAAAGATTACGCTAGGTGGTATGTTCCTAAAACAAAATGTTTGCCCGTGTCATTCAGGTCAGTGACCTATTCTGACCTCTAAGAAGTCCATGAAAGATGTATAATGCGGTTCCTGCCCTTAATAAACTTGAAATGAGCACCAGAAATTATCCCATACAGCAAGCCCTAGAGTAACAAAACAGGTTGGTTTTACCTTGGTGCGACCTTCATACCTGACCTTAGGTCAATGCAATTTGCTCATTCAACTGTTATGTTGCCCAAGAAAGCATCTCAGAGATGTATGGCTTCGTCTAACACTCCGTGGTCGGATCAGATTGGAGAATTCCCTAGAAATTGCCTTTGCTGAAACCATGGCCTTACTTTGACCTGACATAGGTCACCGACCTTACAAGGTGCGTCTAAATTTTTTATGCCAGGCGATCCGCTATTTAATTGTGTACGAATATGCAAAATTTGGCGCGCCTACGCCGTGCCGTTCGGAAGCATTCTGGAAAAGCCTTGGGAGGGTCAATTTCACATAAAGCCCGTCAAAAAAGTGTTAGAGCCGGAGAACTATGCGACACAGCGTCAAATTTGTAGTAACTGCTGTTCAGAAATGTCCCTGTTTAAGGGAATATAACTGATTGACGTCCATATGACTGATTATTGTGACACACATGCGTGTTCAAGGCGCGTGCTGGATCTGCTGGCGACGAGTCATTTGAGTCCTCCGACAACCGACACCTACCAACATCCACCGGCGGTGCCAACGCGTCAATCGCTTCCGCTGCATTCCTCGTACCCAGCCAAAGAAGTGTCTCCAACCCGTCCACCGGCCGCTGAGTCGCAGGCAACTGCACCGCTGCACTCGTGTACAGCCGAAGAAGTGTCTCCAACCCGTCCACCGGCTGCTGAGTCGCAGGCAACTGCACCGCTGCACTCGTGTACAGCCGAAGAAGTGTCTCCAACCCGTCCACCGGCTGCTGAGTCGCAGGCAACTGCACCGCTGCACTCGTGTACAGCCGAAGAAGTGTCTCCAACCCGTCCACCGGCCGCTGAGTCGCAGGCAACTGCACCGCTGCACTCGTGTACAGCCGAAGAAGTGTCTCCAACCCGTCCACCGGCCGCTGAGTCGCAGGCAACTGCACCGCTGCATTCGTCGTACCCAGCCAAAGAAGTGTCTCCAACCCGTCCACCGGCCGCTGAGTCGCAGGCAACTGCACCGCTGCACTCGTGTACAGCCGAAGAAGTGTCTCCAACCCGTCCACCGGCCGCTGAGTCGCAAGCAGCCACACCGCCGCACCGCCCCTCGCTCCTCACGTCACCACAGCAGCCGCAGTTTGCTTCCCGCCAGCCATCTTCTGAAGCCCGAGCCAACTCATGTCCCCGGCAGCAGCCCACCTCGCAGCCAGACTTGTCGCCCGGGAACTCCACCTCACCTTCACGTGCACCGTCCCCCGAAGCACAGAAGTGCAGAGGGATACCAGAAGCGCAGGTGTCACGCGAATTTGCCTTCATCTTGAGAGCTGAAGAAGTGGCCAGCATGTTTGATGGGCACCGAACAAAGAAGGGCTGGCAGGATAAGCTTTTCGATGCTTTTTGCCGGTCTTCGGCCACATCAAGATGCGTGTTAGCAGTGCGGTACTGTCATGTGAAGAAGGCACGCTCGCACAAAAAACATTCGCCTTTTTTCACTTGCGCCGCCGAGTGCCGCCTTCCAAATTGCTACAAATTTAAATTCACAATAGACAACCAACCAGGAACGGGCGACGCGACTGTGTGGTGTCGGCAGTTTGGCACGTCCCACGCCTCCCACAGTCTATACCATGCCCACCGGTATCTGAAGGGGGAGAGACGGAGCCAAGTTGCCGGCCGAGTCGAGGAGCAGGGCCCGTACGTGGTGCGGCAGGAAATGGCCGGCAAGGCTCCCGGTGATCAACTACGGGACGGCAACCTGACGGAGGCCCCACCACCTCATATACTCCGCCAGGCGGCGTACGAGCGAAGAGTCGCCGAACGCTACTCGGCAGACTGGGCGGAGGATATGGCGTGCCGCATGGAGGATTCGGCTGCGGCCGACTCGAGCAGCAAGACGCTGCAGGGTGGTATCCACCTAATCGGCAAGGCCCCCCTCGTAGTGCACCTGTATCGAGAGCACTTCTTGCGAAGATACCATGGACACCAGACGACCCTGCACATCGACGCAACAGGGTCTGTGACGAAACAGATCGGGGCCAAGCGTCCCTATCTGTATGTCGTGGTGGCGGAGGGCGTGAGGGAGGTTGACACGAGCTATCCGCTCGCTCATCTCCTTGCTGAGTGCCACACTGTCCCGGTCCTAGCACACTTTCTATCGCAAGTAGCCCGAGACTTCAAGATCGTCACGAGAGACGCCTTCGCGCCACCACGCATCGTCATGGACTTGAGTTGGGCGTTGCTTCACGCCGTAGCCGAAAGTGTGCTGAAGACCACCCTCATGACGTACCTGGAGACGTGTTGGGAGGCGACGAAGGGAAGCCGACCTCCGGGCACAATCATCAGCCTCTGTGGAGCACATGTCTCGCACCGCCTCTCCCACGTGCTCAAACAGCACGGTGTGCGACATGACAGCGCCGCGGGCTACATGTGGCTTTTCGCTAGGCTTCAGACGGCCGCCAGTCTGGACGACATGGATCGTCTGTTCGCCAACTTCTGCGTGCTTGCTCTGTCCAAGGAGCAGCCCCAGAACCTTGTCGACAAGCTCGGTTCGGCAACAGGCGCGCCCGAGTCCGCTCAGCCAGAGGATGAGCCAGAACCACCACCGGACTCAATCAGGACGTACCGAGCCAAAACGTCGTTCGGCCGACATTTCGATCAGGTGCTGAAAATGGCCGAGGCTGACGTCCTGGACTCAGAGCAAGTGACCAGTAACTTCTACTGCCCCGCGTTGCCCCAGTACATGCTGCGAGCCCTCATGCCACTGGCTCCTCTGTGGAGCCAGCTCCTCTCGGAAAGGGTGACCTCGAACGCTGCTGTTGAGTCCTATATGAGGGTGGTGAAAAAGCAGCTGCTGCGTGGACGCCTTCGGCTGCACCCATGCGAATTCGTTCGCAAGCTGCTGAACGACGGCGCGGTGCGCGCTAAACTGGATGTGGTCCCCGGGCGTCCAGCCCCGAGGGGCAAGAGACGGTTCCAAGAAGAGAGCCCCTTGCAAAATCCCGAGAAGCAAGAGGAATACTGGGCGAAGCGGGAGTCCAAAGCTGACAAGCCCTCATGGTACGCACGAATGCGTCCACCCACCTGCATGACAGATGGGCCCGTGGATCCTGAGGCTAGTCATTGCCGTCGCAAGCGTACTGCAGAAACTCCATTTGTTCGCCGTGCCCGGGAACGGGCAAATAGAGCCCGCCAAGCACCGCAAATGACCGTGCAGACAGGCGGTGACACTTCTGAGGGGAAGGAGGCGGACGTCAACCCAGTCACTGCCAGCAGTCCCGCAGCGATGAGTGCCACACGAGTCCGCCAAGCACCGCAAGTGAACGCGCAGACAGGAGGTGACACTACTGAGGGGAAGGAGGCGGACGTCAACCCAGTCGCTGCCAGCAGTCCTGCAGCGATGAGTGCCACACGAGCCCGCCAAGCACCGCAAGTGAACGCGCAGACAGGAGGTGACACTACTGAGGGGAAGGAGGCGGACGTCAACCCAGTCACTGCCAGCAGTCCCGCAGCGATGAGTGCCACACGAGCCCGCCAAGTACCGCAAGTGAACGCGCAGACAGGAGGTGACACTACTGAGGGGAAGGAGGCGGACGTCAACCCAGTCGCTGCCAGCAGTCCTGCAGCGATGAGTGCCACACGAGCCCGCCAAGCACCGCAAGTGAACGCGCAGACAGGAGGTGACACTACTGAGGGGAAGGAGGCGGACGTCAACCCAGTCACTGCCAGCAGTCCCGCAGCGATGAGTGCCACACGAGCCCGCCAAGTACCGCAAGTGAACGCGCAGACAGGAGGTGACACTACTGAGGGGAAGGAGGCGGACGTCAACCCAGTCGCTGCCAGCAGTCCTGCGGCGATGAGTGCCACACGAGCCCGCCGAGCACCGCAAGTGACCACGCAGGGACGCGGCAAACCGTGGGACGGTGTCCAGCTGGACGCCGACGCTCTTAAGTCTTTGGCGCCAGGGGAGTGGCTCATGGACGACGTCATCAACAGCTACTGTCTTGCATTGGCGTGGTCGTCTGGTGGTAGGGTGATCAGCTTTGCCACATACTGGCAGGAGTCCATGATGGCCGGCCGTACCAGCGAGATGCTGCGCGAACACCTGGAAGCTCGTGACGCTCACCTTGGAATGGTTTGGCTGCTGCCCTACCATCGAAACGGAAACCATTGGGCGCTGTACATCGTGGCCATAGGGTCCAAGACTATCGTGCACATGGACTCCCTGAACCTTCGGCCCAACAGACTGGACATCGCCTTCATTCAGCGGATGGTGGAGGCAGTCGATCTGGTGTCATCTGACAGCAGGCCTGCAACCGACCGAGAGACGGCGTGGGGACGTTGGAGGCTTGTGGTCCCGGGCGAGACTCCGCTCCAGCCCGATACGTTCTCCTGTGGCCCACGTGTGTGTTTCTACGCGGAAGTCGTAGCAACGGGCGTTGACCGTCGTTTCAACGATACTTCCATGCGACTCGAAATCCTAGCCAGGATACAGAGTGTAGTGGTAAGTGATTCGCGCGCGACTGTCCCTAAAGGTCATGGCTCATTTCAGTCAACTAATATGGATGACACAACGTGTATACGCCATATAGACTTGAATGCAAGTTGACGTATGGCTCCCACCCGACACGCGACGAGACTGCGTAAGTGATTGACCATGTTTGGGATGCCCAACGTTCGCAGGTGTACTTATAGAAGCACTCTGCCTGAGCCTGGAACATTTTATTGGTGAAGGTGTAGGTAAGATATATTGGCGTGGAAGCGTATTGATGATGATGATACATATATATATATATATATATATATATATATATATATATATATATATATATGTATACATAATCATTATCGAACGCGCTGGTCCAGAACCCACGCAACGACGGCTTGCATGCAAAATGCCTGGAAAACACGACAGAAATAGTGACGTAAGTAATGCAAGTAACCGTATACGCCGAAAATTTATATGACCGGCATTGGTTTACAGACGAAGACCAGGCTCAGGAGCGTGACGCTCGGCTTCAACGCCAGAAAGGAGCTAGAGGCGCTGATGCCGAGCCTCCGGGAGGTCCAGAACATCGGCGATCCTGTGTCGTTCCTCCGCGACCTACAACTGGCTTCAGGTAAACCCTGCTTGTGAGAAGTTTTCACGCCGCCAGTCATCTAGCTGTGCCAGCCGGTGCGGATCGGCGTGTCCAGCAGCGACCGCCGGCGCCCGGTGCGGTCGGTGTGCGCCAGCGGCGGGGCCCGGGTGCACCATTGTGTTGTCCGGTGCGAGCCGGCGTGTCCGACTGCGGTAACGTGAGCTACCACCGGCAGGGCCGGCACCGGGAACGACACGGCCCTGCTGGCAGACTACGACGCCCAGCTGGCCGAGTACCGGGGCCAGGTGGAGCAGAGACATGGCGTGCCCACATTCGCCGAGTTCCTCGACTTCGTGCTGGCCAGTGAGCCCACCGGTGAGTCGATCAAACAGCCTCGGCAGCCGTCCGTCTCGCCGTCCGTCTCGATGGTTCCGCGTCGGGAGCTGTCCGTACCGGCGACTCCGATTACATTTGACGAGAACGACGGTGACGAGACGTAACGCTTGCTCCGAGTATCCAGTTAATGCGAACGTCGATAATGTCAGCTTCGTAGTTCATTCCACGATGTCATTCTACGGTGTTTGTTTCAACAGCTCGCGATGACCACAAATGTTCATACGAGAAGCAAAGAAAGCAGCAGCATTGTACCAACTCATCCCGTTTGAGGCTACACGAGTTGGCCTTGATGGGTGACCTGAGGCGTAGGATGAGCGTCGGACGAGTCTCGCCTGCGCGCGCTAATCCCCACGCCTGTAACCTTGCGCGTCGCCGGCGGGCAGGAGACACTTTCGACAGTCACTGGACGCCCTACTGGCGACAGTGCGCGCCCTGCCACATGGGCTATGACGTCATCGGAATGCTGGAAACCGGCGCTGATGACTTCAAGGTGAGCTAGCTCGCGCATCCCTTGAGCCCATGCCCGCCGGCGGGGGGTCACCGACGGGGAACGATGTCACGGCCAGTGGGGCGGAGCCGCCAGCTGCATGCAGCACCGCAACAGCTGACTCAATCTTAAGTGGATTTTACATCTGAGCCGGGATGGCGGCTTGCACAGCACCCAAATGTACCTGACTTGTTGCCTGTCCGTCGTTATTTTCGGTTGCGGTGAAGGTTGGTAAAGCCCTGCTCATCCCCGAGTCATGAACTTCGCCTTTACTGTTCAATAACGGCACGCTTTACCCGTAACCTTTCCGCGCTCTCACCGTGCAGTCTTTGAGAACGACCAAAGCGGTCACCGCAGCCGCCAGTGTGTGGTCTATATGCAGCAAGCTGCCCGCCGTCCCAGTCATACCCGTCGCCTGCCCTGTGCCCGGCATCTGCCGCCCACCGTCTGACCCGTGCTGGTCGTCTGAAGTTTGTGACTGTACCCGCCGTATGACCCGTACGTGCTGTCTGACCCATACCCGCCGTCTGACCCGTTCCTGCTGTCTGACCCGTGCCTGCCGTCTGACCCGTACTTCTTGTCTGACCCGCACTTCCTGTCTGACCCATGCCTCCCGTCTGACCCATGCTTCCTGTCTGATCCGTACCCGCCGTCTCGACTGACGCCTGATGCCGGTACCTCCGCGCAGTACATGTGGCACCGAATGAAGATCTACTCGTCGGTGAGGATTCCGCGCCAGAACGCGCTCCAGCGCAACAGCACGGCGCTGGAGGAGCACGCCAGGCGCTACTTGGCGCCCGTGCACCCGGCCACCGTGGCGCGCCTCGGCCACCGATTTCGGCTCGACTTCGAGTTGTTCGGCTACGACTGGGAGCAGATGCTGCGCCTGTCGGGCCACTGCGCGGCCACCGGGCGCTGCGTGCTCGCTTAGCGTCAGCGGCCGCGGTAGCCGGGCGCGCGTCTGCCCGCGTATGCGTGCCGTGCTGTGGCCCCGCGTGGCGCGAGGTGTGGGCCGTGCTGTGGCCGCGCGTGGCGCGAGGTGTGGGCCGTGCTGGGGCCCCGCGTGGCGTGAGGTGTGGGCCGTGCTGGGACTCCGCGTGGCGTGAGGTGTGGGCCGTGTGCGGGTGGAGGCGGGGCTCACGTGGTGCTCAGCTGTCTCGTGCGCGCCGGGGCGTCATCCTTCGAACTGTGATAGTTTGCTAATGAACTGCAGCCATAGTGTGAATACAGAACATATGACATAGCGGGCTCCGTGTTCACCCGAACCGTTCACCGGCAGCCTTGAAGCCGGCTCAGAGTACCCCCATAAACACAGCCACGTCGGTCCTTGTTATTCAGAAGGCGTACGTTCGCCTCACAAACATTCACGTACGCCCTCCGACCCCAGCCTGCTTAATGGACCGGTGACATCAGCTCCACACAGACGTTTGATTACTCAGCTGCAATTGCACATCACCTGAACAGCCTCATGTGCACACGGCCTCCACCCGGCGTGACATAGACGATACCAGTCACATTATCACCGTCGCTTTCACCCCGTCCAAATGCCACACGGGAAGAAACAACGTAGCATACAATGGCAAACAAGTCGGTCTTCCTTTCCAATCCAAGATTGTCATGATCTATAACCAGTGCTGACTAACTAACGAGGCACAAATACTGGGCGATGTGAGCGTGGTGACGGACGGCCGCGTGACTGACCCCGCCTGGATGAAGCCGCGGCGCCCTGCCCGGCCTTGCGGGCGTCCGCTTCCGCCAGGTCACAGCCAGTGCGGCCCGCAAGGCCTGGTCTCAAGACGCGAACGCCAGCGGTCGTGACGACTACTGCCGCCACTGCCCGGGCGACATTTGTGGCGCCACCCAGCCCGAGCTGCCGCCAGCTGTACCACCGGTAACCGATATGTTTCGACGTAGAAAACATCTACACTGTGTTTAAAGTGAAGTGCTGCACGCGGTTCACGCTTACTGTTCGGGCGGCTGGATTACTTGTCCCTAGTCAACGGGCGGCAGACTGGCATCGCGGCCCGGTGTCAAGGTCACTGTTGGCCGGCCGAGGTCAGGATCTCTTCTAGTCGGCCGAGGTCAGGGTTGCTGCTGGCCGGCCGGTCGGCGGGCGGCCTCCACCAGCCGACCCAAGTCGCCGCTGGTCAGGACCGCTCAACGTCTCCAGCCGCTGGCGGCAGAGGGCGGCCGCCTCGCGCGTGTCGTGCTGCCGACCACCGGTCCCGGTCAGGTCATATCAGGTCAGGCTTGGCGGCCCGAAACCGGCGCCCACGCGCATTCGATGGCAAAAGCTGCGCAGCACCGGCGATCGGCGGGCGTAGCCGGGACTGTGCACTCAGATCATCCTGTCGCTACCCAGGTGCACTGGACATGATAACCAACAGGCACATCAATCGGTCCAACCGAAGAAACACGGATGTTCCGTTTGGGGCAATCAAACTACCTACGAATAGCGATCCATCCAGCCATCACACGTCGTATTTCGAAGCGTAGTTGAAATCGAAGTATTGCAGCCTAAAATGGGCCTAACGGTGGTGTCACTACAGTCCAGGGTTCGTCATCACATGGAACGCAGCGACAGATGCGACGCACATCTCCCTCATCGCAACGGCACCTTGCATTTCCTTACAACAACGCAACTTTCATGTCCCAACTCACTACAACAGCTTGCAGTCAAGTGAAGCGCGATTTCTGAAGCCACCCGCGGCAGCGTTATGACCACTGTCGTTTTCCAACGCACTTAAGGCCTAGCCAGCGTCCGACCATGCCGCCGCAGCTCACCAACTCAACAATTCCAGCACCGACCCGCGGGCTCACCTGCAGCACTTGGAGCCCGTGGTTGGTCAGCACCACCAGCTCGTTGATGCCGTCCCCGATCAGGTCCACATAAGTGACCCCGAGCAGCGGCTGCGAGAAGCTGTGGCGCCAGATCTGCGCCCACGTGTTGCCTTGCAGACTGTACACCAGGATCTCCTGGTGAGAGACGGCGGAGATATCGGCGTCGGCTGTCAGCGAATACTTCCACACGACTGACCCGGTCACGGAGTAGCCGTAATTCGGACGATGGTGATGACGAACATTCGCCATCAAGATCCACTTTCAACACGTGAGGTGCACCAAGGGCGCAACCAAGAAGTGGTCTAGTGACGCGCCCCCCCCCCCCCCCCCCCCACCCTATCCCCTTCGGCCCGCATTTTCCCCCCACAGCTCGCAACGTACGGGTGGCTCCTGACGGCAAGATAAGAATCACCGTGATAAGCTTTCACTGAGCTCCAACTCCAGCTTCAGCTCCAACGAGCCGGGTTGCTCATCGTGAAAAAAATATAGCTGCACCCATGAGATGAACAAAAATGTGCAATCATGGGCTTCGCCGTACAGCAAAGGGCGAAGAGAAGAAGCCCACAATATCTTCGGAATTCAAAGCCGCTTGTGCGTCTTGTTGAAAAGTCTCAAAGGGCTTGATGTCTCCAAAGCACCCGTGCAGTTGGAGGGGCCACCGCCACCCACCTGTCCGTAGGTGCCCAGCACCAGTTCGTTGCGGCTGTCCATGTTGATGTCGCAGACGCAGGAGCAGGTGACCACGTCGCTGGCGTCGCTGTCGGCCAGCAGATGCCGGCGCGGCGGCAGCCGGCCGGGCGCCAGCGGCAGCTCGCTGTACACCGCCGACGGCATCAGCGCGTTGGTGACCAGCAGGTGCAGCGGCTGGTGGTCGGCAGGGGTGGCGAGGTCGCTCGGGTCGCGCAGCGCCGCGCGCACAAACTCGGGCGCCTCCAGCCGCGTGCCCAGGGTGAACAGGCGCACGGAAGTCACCGGGTTGTCGTGCGTCGTGGACCAGACGTGCGTGACGCGCAGGAGTGACAGGTCCACGACGCTCACCCGGATGTAGCCGCACTCGCACGCCAGGGCCGTCACGCGCCTGCGCAACGGGAGAGGGGGCCGTCTGAGCGTACCAGGCCGGGAAGACGGCGGTCACTTGAGGTCTGCTGAGGCCCGGCTGCAGCGGTGATGGCGGTACGCTGTGACGGACCACCCGCGATGGCCGTCACGGGACGGGACGTGACCCAGAGTAGCGACCTTTGTCAAACCAGGGCAAACCAGGTTAAGTTATTAAAGGACTGCATAATAAAGAACAGCTAGGTGACATTTAGAACCATGCAGTTAAATTTTTTGCAACTCGAAGTCCATCGACGAAAGGTCTGTGGAATGGCTGGGACCCACTGGTGTCCACTGAAGTGTTTCGTATGCACACACAAGTTTATATCGTTTTTCCTACAAACAACATTCTAGTGCCACCCACATTCCGGGTATGTCCTTGTAGAAGTTCGTCCACAGGACGACAGATGGCAGGTCGGCAAACTCCGGGAACAGCGGCTCCAGAGGCTCCTCGCGGAAGCTCTGATTGGGCTTATCCTCGCAATACAAGTGCATTGTCTTGTCGCTGCCACTCAGCAGGAAACAGGTCTGTAATGCAAAACAGTGCGTAACCAGACAAAAACAAAATGAATGTGATTTAGCGCCGAGTGACAAAAACTACTGATGGAAATGTGCTCTTCTTATCAGTGAAGGGTCTGGTCCCCGGCAAGGGACTGACAAATCGTTAGCTCCAGTTTACGGTCGACCCTTTGAGACCCCAGAGACAAAGAATACGAGGGGGCTGGAACACGGCGGAAGGGATAGCTTCGATCCTTATCGGCTTCCGGCGTATGATTACGTTTTTTCCCCAAAAATGACAGCCCCACGACCTACGGTGACCCCCCCCCCGTGCCTTCGCGCCCCGCGCATGATAATGACTTCAGTTTTTTGGGGCGTGTC